ATTAAGTAAAGACTTGTGTCGTTAAAATTTCGTCGGAACAAAGTTACGAAAAAATCAATTAACAAACGGAGATGTAACAGTATCAACTTTGTTGACAGTAGGAATAGTCACTGTCTATGCCAGAAAGACAAAACAAGGGGCTCTACCTCAGCCACCAGAAGCACCACCAGTGAATAGCCCAGAGAGACCTGATGATGGCACTTCTCACAAAATCACCAAAGGTGTTTACACTCCATGTCAGAACAGATCCCAGTGTACCACACTAACAAGGCCATAGCCAAAGACAGAGATGACCTAGGATTCACCATGGTGGCCAACTGTAAAACAATGGTTGTACTGGAGAATCTGCTGGGGGGGGGGGGGTAAATTGAGTGGTAGTAGAACCTTATGCTTACTCTTAGTGAATATTTTTTGTATATTTTCTAATTTAAAAAGTGGTATATACATGTATGTATCTCTGCATTGTGCATTTATTCTTGTTTTCTTCATTTTATTCTTTTCATATAAAAAACAGGCATAATTTGTAGTGTATATTGTTTTGACTGTACATTTAAGAAAAAAAACATTAATTTTAAGGATATTATTGTGATTAATTATGTAAAGGGTTTATTTTGTAAGTTGTGCATTTTATATGTATTTATATTTTAGCCTGCATGTTTGTATATGTGTATATTCTTATTTTTGATTACATTTTACAGTTTTTATAAGGAACTGTTTTGAATGTGATATATGTTTCATAGTTAAAGATACTTTTTTATTTTGATTATACATTTATTCCATTGTAAAGGTATGTTTGAATTAATCTATGTTAGATTTCATTTTGTTTTGTGTATCTGTGTTGTGTGTTAAACTATCCCCTCCAAAAAATGATAGGTGAGTGTTATTAAAGGATTATTTTAATATGCAATTTTCTGTTAAAGTTTTTATTTTAGTGCTATATATATCTCTCATTGCTAAAGGGTTTCTTTTTGCATTATGCATTTCTGTATTAAGGTATTTTTCATTTAGTTATTTTCATTATCTAAAAGTGTTTTAATGTATTATATAAGTTTGAATTGTAAAGGCTTGTCTATTTTTCTTGCTCTTTCATTATGTAATGGCTAGGAGAATTTTTGGTTCAGTTCTATTCTCCCAAATTGATTATTTCATAACACTGGAAAATAAGTTGAGTACTATAACTACTAAAGTGTAATTGACTGGAGTAACCCAAGTTGGTTTGTATAGTAATGGTGAATTATGCCAGAGGCAACCTGGCTACAGCTAGTGGTATATGTGATGATACAAATTGTAGAAATGATTGTTTATGGCAATATATGTATTACTGAGTATATGTATGTGGTGTTACACACATGTATGGAATATTCCACAAATCATTCATGATGTTGTATAACACAAGAGTATCAATCACTAAAGCACAACTGGTAAGCAACAATTGAATGAAGGTAGGTATTTGATCAGGATGTTAAGATTTCAAAGTACGAGGTTAACTGTGGTGTAGCTTGAAGCAATGTTTGAAGATACATTGAGCCAGTTATCTACATTAATGTTGAAGAGAGAATACTTCAGTTTTGACACTGAAATGTTTTGTAGCTAGTGAGATTTCATGGAAAATATAAAAGTAAGACTTAGATTCATGCTATGATATCCAAAACACACAGTTTGACCTGTTGTTTTGCTAATGATAATTAAGAACATTTCAATTGGATTGAGCTGAATCCTTTGTGAGTAGGAGAAATTAATAATAACAGGTTTCATACTAAAGATAAGCTTGATGTACCCAATGTTCTCTTTGTTTGTGTGTAAATACTTTTCAGTCATGTAGATTAAAATATTCATGAAAAGCACAGTTTTCTGAACATTTTAATACAAGGTGCAGTTATAGTGCATGAGTTGCAGGCTGTGTGTCAGTGGCAAGAAGCAACAACTGTGTGTTATTACTTTGTACTTGTCTCTTGTTAGACTGACTTAAATCTGAAAGGAGTGAAAAAGGGAAACAAGATGTAAATGTTAATGAATTGAAGAATCAAGGTTAGCACTTACACAGTGGCTGATATAGTTCTGGATACTTGTGTAAATACCTGAGTTTACAGTCTTGCCCCATTTCTTTACTACTGGATCCAGGATATGTTTTGTATAACAACCAGATAGCAATGGGAGAAATGTGGCTAGGTTCCAGGATAGATATGGACCACCATAATGACAATGATGATCCTAGAGAACACAACTAAATTGTGGTTAAGTGTAAGACCCATTGAAGCCTGAGTGGACCAGATGTCCACAGGTAAGGGAAGACATCAACTACAGGTGCTACATACATGAGTACATGTACACCTGTAGAAATGTTATTTGAACACAGCAATAGTGTCTACCTAGTCCTGGCAGTTACTGTAATTTTATCATCATTTGATAGAACAAAACAGTCTTCTCGATCTTTGACTACCTATTTTATTATCATCATATGCAAAATTTATAAAGCTTTAGAATACACTCTATAACCTAGTGACCCACATACATCATCTTATAATAATTAAACAAACAAGTATGTAGGGATTTTATTCTCCATGTAAAGTTGAGATGGCTTAGTCTGTTATGTGATCATTAGCCGGATCAAGTTATATGTCCACTTCCATCCCTATCTTGTTTGGTTCCTTTTTTCAAATCCAGTAAACAGCCCTACATAGCTTTTTTATTTAGTAATAATCTTTTTTTTTTCTAATATTTGTTATGTATTAATAAAATCCTTATTGCTAATCTAAACTAAACTTTCTTCTTGCAGCCAGTCTTTTATGTATCTAGTAATTTTTGTGTAAGTTCTTTGCATTTGAAAATACAGATTGTAATTAAACCAAAGGTTACTTGTAAAAAACCTTTATTATTCAATGCTCTGGTTATATGCTTAGAAGACGTCAAGGTAGGAATTACATTACTTACAAGTGTAGTATAATTAACTTCATTATAACACAGAGAAAAAGATAGTGTTTTCAAGAATACCTTTTTACTTTATAACTTTTGTGTTGTTTATTCTCCTAGAATTACAGCCTTATATTTTCAACCAATCAGCAAATAATCCAGGTTTTGAAAGGAGGATCTTGGAGATGCATATTGCTTTAGGAAGCCATCTATCTGGATCCCTTGTGGATGGACTCGTACTTAGTGGGGTAGCAGAGGAGTCTTTTTTATATGTCAAACTCCACAGAAAGGTAATGATTCTGTATGAAAATACCTTTTTGCATTACAAGATACTATATATATATATATATATATATGTGTGTGTGTTTCTATAGTTTTGTTTATGAAATTTATTAAATTTACTTATGGAGATTTTGTTTTCAGATAAAAAAGCACTTTATTGCATTTTAACAAGAAAAATTTCAGTCGTTTATAACCATAAGGTTTTCCTATGTGTATTTTACTAAGTCATCTGAATATTAATTAATATTGTTACGTCTCTGTATGTTTGTTTGTTAATTCTTCTCAGATACAAGTCCTTTCTTTATAAAACTTGTTTATTCTTCCTCAATACAACTTTGTAATGTACTTAATTTTCACAGTTACACATACTATAGTTCACAACAATTCACTGACTTTCTATCGCGCTTAGACTTAATTGTTCGTCCCTGCCAACAATAGCTCCGATCTCTGTGTCTGCTATCCTCAGTTCCCGCCGACCATAATCGCTGTCTTTCTTTCTCTCTGCCTGCTTCGTCTCTGCCTCCGTCTCCACTATGTCTCTGCCTCCGTCTGTCTCTCTCACTGTCTAGCGTACTTATATACGATAATACTGCCTGTTCTAGAAACTTCTAAGACTCTCAACATGTGCTACCAGCGTCACTTGACTGCCACTGTCTTAACACATTAGCGAAGCTTCTAGAATACTCGCCATGTGACCCCCCGCTGTCGTAACACACTAGCAAATCTTCTAGAATACTCGTCACGTGACCCCCCACTGTCGTAACAATATATTTATTTCGTGATATATGAAAGGAATGTAAATATAGACACACCTACAGACATTTATATAAAATTTTAGTATATAAAAATACCAGTCAAAGTATTTCCAGTATTTCTCAGGTTCACTGATATGTCTTAGAGTAATTAGATAGGAATAGCAGAAAATTAGGAACCTTACCAGAAAATGTATTGTGAAGCAAAAATCTGAATTCACTTAATCTAGACTGAATGTTACAAAGAAAAAGAGGCTAGGCACAAGTTAAATACGGTGAAATAATCTTCACTTACCCTAACAACAATTAAAGTTTAAAAACAAGTGTATTTTTTTGGTGCCTTTACTGGAGAGATATGATATCTATCTGTAATTATCTTTCTTTTAAAATATTAATCAAGGCAATCATCCTTTATAATTTTGTTAAAATCTGACCCAGTCTCACTTAACATGGCATTATATACAAAAAAGGAACAACAATGCCATTCTTCTCAGTTTGCAAAAAACTACCCACGTGATTGACAGTCATTCTCACTACAAAACGAGGGATGTATCTTGGGGCATCACCTGACTTGCCAATGTAAAACACCACTGTCTAGTTAGAGCATTCTTTCTCCCGAAAAGAACATGTGATATCCTAATTGTATGACCTAGTCCTATAGATAATAGGACTAGTGCAAGTTAATGGCTCGATTGAATGACATTTTACATTAAGAATGTGTACATAATATATAGAGAAATTTTTAACATTCTGTATATTAAGTAAAGGGGTATGAAACACATAGTATGCCTGCATATTACACTTTTTTTTTCTCCCCTTTACCTTGAGGCTAAACTGGTCGTCCCTAACTTTAAAATTTGAAAACCAGTTAAAGCATTTCGTGTATCAGTCAAAAAATCAATGTAGCTTACTCTCACCCACACAAAATACTTGCACAGTTGTGCAATAAACAATTAAAATACGGCAAACCTATTTATAAAAGTAACATTTCAAAAAGTTTATAATAAACCTTTATATAATAAAATAATAAAAAATGCAATCTATCCTTTAAAGTCAAAAATACTGAATAAAACCTATTTATAAAAGTAACATTTCAAAAGTATATAATAAACCTTTATGTAATAAAATAATAAAAAATGCAATCTATCCTTTAAAGTCAAAAATACTGAATAAAACAAACCCTTTAATTATGACAATCAAAATACAAAACTCTTCATAAAATGTACATGTATGTATAAAAGTAATCATGCAGATTATTACATCATACAAAAAGAAGATAAAGGGGAAAAACAAGAAGGGCAGTCATAACAAACATACAAAAGTACATTAAATGAAATGTAGGCAGATTTTGTTAAACAAGACCGATGTCTGTAGGTTTACTTTCTTCTTAGAATTC